GGAAACGACAGTATGAGACGGAAGGGCAAATCGCGCCCACTCTCTCCCGAGAAAGCCTACTACCGTCGAAGAGCGTGCTTGGCAAACGTTTACGAGGCATAAACGCCAAAACAAAAGGCGGCTGGGCGCGAAACAATTAAAAACGTTACGCCCGATCGCTCTTTAACGTTCTCGTCTCTTGCCCTCGCTCTCGCCCTTGCTCTCGTTTTCCCTCCTTCCGCCCCCCCCCCTCTCTCCTCTCTCTCTCTCTCTCTCTCTCTCTCTCTCTCTCTCTCTCTCTCTCTCTCTCTCTCTCTCTCTCTCTCTCTCTCTCTACTCTCTACTACTACTACTACTACCTACTACTACTCTACTCTCTACTACTACTACTACTACTACTACTACTACTATTATTGCTATTGCTGCGCGTTCTTACTCTCTTTCTACACGCACTTATGTATATTACAAATTTTAATATATTATTTGCATTATAAATATTGAATTATTAGGTCATGAAAGCTAAATTTGAAATTATAGTAGGAAAATTTCCAATGTAAATTATTCCGAAATAACTGTAATTTAATAGCTTTCTATGAAATTAACATCATGTTCAAAAGTCATTTATCAATCGCATGTGCACGATCAAAGAAAGAGAAAGCGTTTCTGAATTTGGCGTACATACTTCAATCACTTTACGAGTTTACGAACAATAGGAATTGATAATTCATAGCCTTTGTATATCTCGGGGATTGACGAACCTAAAATTCGCTGATATTAAGGGATTTTGTTAAAGTACTCGTGAAAATGATATTAAGATAATTAAGATGCGAATAAATAATCTCTGTGTAAAATAAGAAAAATGACACAAATTTTTATGAAAATGTATAATTAAATTTCTAGAGACTATATTCCAATTTTTTTACCTCAACTTTTCTTTTCTACTCATATATTGGAATGAGCAGAGGGAAAGAGATAAACGCTGATTTCTTTCGCTTTCTTTTGCAAGCTAAGTGTGTGTGTGTATATATATATATATATATATATATATATATATATATATAAAACATTGCAAAATATAATCGCTGTAGAGAGGAAGACAAGGAGACACAAGGACAAGTTTTTACGGTACAATACGAGTTTTGTCGGGAGCGAGAGAAAGAAAGATTTGTATCCAGCGGCGTCGCGGCGTGGTTAGGCTCGTTTCGGTTAAGCCTAATTTATAGGGATGTTTCGTGTCCTCCACAGTTGCCTCCACAGCCGCACAGGCTGTGTCCTATTACTCCTATTCTCTATTATGCGCCGCCGCCGTCGTAGGCCGGAGCTTCTCCCGATATCTATGTGCCATTCTAAATTATTCGGTATTGTCCTCGCATGATTCCATTGTCCGCGTCTGTCTCCACCGTACGCTGATACGCCATGCCGTCGCAGGTTAGGGCGTAGACCTACAACAACATCCACCGCTGCTGCCGATGCGCGTGTATCTGCTTCGAGTGCGTCTTGTCATCATCGGTCAAGAGAGAGAGACCCATGCGAGCTTCACTCGTACGTACATCGTCGAACATGTCTAATTAATCGCCATTACCGAGCTACCACACATGATAAGAATGCGCGCTCTTACGGAGCTGTCCATGACAAGTGTGTAACCGCGATGATAGAATGACATAATTGCTTTTGTACACCGAAAGTCACAAAGTAACATTGGAGAGACAGTTGTCAAATTTTTGAAATGCCGAAATGTGTCTTGTCGACATCATGTCTGATCGACTAAAGAAAAGGATTGAAGAAGCGTAGAAAGAGAAACGAACGATTTAATAATGATTATCATTTAATAATGATTTCAACGTACCATCGAGAAACGTCGATTATGTAATCGTTATATAAATATTTCGTAATTACGCAAAGTAACTTTTTCAGATAATTTAGCATTATATTATTTTATATTTATATTTATTTATGGATTTATTACACAAGTTACAAATTACAAAATGTCTATAGTTGCCGTTGTCTATACATAGAACGGATTAATCATCGGTTTTTCTCTCTTCCTCTTTCGACTCCTTTTCTTCTTATCTTGTCATTTTCAAGTAATGTGAATTTTAATAACGATAATAGTTCTTCATCGACTACATAAATAGCTGGTACCAATAGCTGGTATATTTCTCTTTTCGCAACGAGTTTTATTAACTTCCTCGCGTCTCAAAATACAAGCTAGGTATATACGGTTGCCCCCGTCGGAGCGAGATATCCGAGAGAAGTTAGATCTCTGATTCGCAGGACGGGAGAGGTTACAATAAATTGCATACACACCCTTCTCGAAATACAAGACAAGTAGAAGGGAGAAAAGGAAAAAAGAAGGGAACGAAAGATTCCTGTTCGCGATACTGTGTTCCCTATTGAATCACGTCGCTTCGTTTCGTCCAACGAGCGAATGCTCTCGTTTTTCTCTCATCTTTCCCATCATTGATTAGACAGATACTTAAAAAAGCCGTCGTTTAAACGCTAGAATACTCTTTATAAATATTGCCCGAGATATCACAATATTTTTTCCTCTACGAATTATTCGATCAATTTTGTGCAATTTATGATTCAAGAACTTGGAATCGTGACAAAATTGTCACAAACAACATTTAAATCCAAAGAATAGCTTCGCATATCTTGGATGTATTCGAAAGACACAGCAGAGACATTGGACACCCTCGATCGGGTAGATGTGTACTTGGTGCGCGCCAACTACCACTAGACTTTACGAAGGTTACACAGAAATAGAGAGAGAGAGAGAGAGAGAGAGAGAGAGAGAGAGAGAGTCAACGTAGTATGAGAATGGCA